ATTGAAAATATTTGTATGGATATCTGGTTTCTGTAATCTTGTGGAGCAGCGGTATTTGGAGGAGCCAGTAGAGGAAAGATACTTGGGGAAGGGCTAAGAGGAGCGCAATCTTTAGGAAGGCAAGCTAAATGAAAAGGAATTATCTGATAAACAGGAGGCCGTAACATTTCTGTGCAGAGTTACAGCATGTTGTTTTAGAAAGTCTTGGCTTGAAGATATCAAGTGGTAGGTGTCCTTTTACGTTTCTAAAAATATTATTTCAGTGGCTTACTAATCATGTGAAAGGAAGGAAGGATTTGAAAATAAAAACTGAAGGAGATGGAGCTGGGCAGGAGGCTTTAGAGGGAAGGGAGTCAGCTAATAGTTACTGCATTAAGAGAGCAAAGTCACAGTTTCAGAAAGAGTGGAAAAAACCTGATCTACAAAGCATTTATTTTTCCTGGATCGGTTTTCAAAAGAACTTTCCTGGAATTAATTTGCTGGTCAACTTTTCTGGTAGTTACGGTTATTCTATTCAATAAAATCAAAATATAAATTTATGTACTTTGTTTCTGACACTTCTTCGTTTCAGCTTTGAAACTTTGGCATTTTGTATTGTCAGACATTTCAAATGGTGAATGAAGTTCTGGACTGACTCTAGTTATACATTGGCCTTCACAGCTCCCCGTACTTGTTTTGGGCCCTGAATTGATGAAAATAACAGAAATTAAAGACAAAATTTACATTATCAGGGTTTGTTTGATGTTTCAGCTGGCTTTGCAGCGTGAAATGCCCAGAACTGGGTCACGTTATTAGCATAATATGATTTTGCCTCAGTGCTCAGAGGGTATGGTCTATATTTCATTCACTTTGCATTGGATCAGCCCTTAAAATATATACCAAAAAAGGAGGTACTTCTAAAAAGAAGTAAGAAGAAGTACTTTTAAAAACGGTAAAGGATAAACACAAGATGCTAGTAGTAGCTTAATAGTCCTGTACCAGCTTGTTAAATGTATAAACAAACTTGACAGCTCAGGAAATGAATACCTTATTCGTACAGATTTTGGATGTTCTTTATTCATATATATTCTTTTTATCCAATGATTTTTTTTTTTTTCAGCTTTGGAGGTTTGTGATAGAACCAAAAGCTAAACCAACTGACTCAGATGCGATGTGACTAGTTAGCAAACAGGCCAAGCCTCAGTTTCTACCATATTACCTTCACAATTTTCTGTCTTGGTGAAAACTATAGTGTGAATTTCCAGAGGAAACTCATTGGATGATTGCTTATTTTGTAGATGGGTGGTTTTTGAGTGATATAAAAAGGAAGCAGTCCCACTCCAAATCAAAACTGTTGCAAAACCATTATTAGAGGGCAAGGCTTCTCTTATTTGTTCAGCACAAAAAAGTTTATTTTTCTGCCTCATTAGTGAGCATCTTACAACTAAATAAGGAGAATATTGCTATAATATGGATTAACAGTCTGAACTGACTCAGGAGTTGATGCCAAATGGCATTTCATTGACAGCTGGTACTCTTCTCTTGGAACTGAGGGAGCAGTTCCTGCCTCTCCCCCTGCCTCAGCTGAAGATGACAGTGAACTTCAAAGGGAGCTGTGGAGGCAGTTATTCCCTTGCAGGAATAGTTTATGGTTTATAACCTTTTTGTGTGATGGTAGTAATAAGAAGTATTCATGTCATAGCTGGATAATGTTCTGTTAAAAACAAGCAAGCAAACAAAACCTAAACCCAGTAGCTGCCTATTTAGAGTGAAAGAGAATGAAAGCTACCACACGTGGCCATCTAGCCATAGCGCTGTCACTACCATCTCTCTCAGCTGTTTTGTACGGCCTCTTAATGCATCTTGTGGAAAAAGCAGAAAACTTCATTGTGAATGCTGACATCTTTTATAGGATACATTTGTTTCAACATAATTGTGATTTTCCAGCGCTGGAGAAGTTTAAATGGCAATGCAAGTGGATCGAGTGGAAAGATTGTATTTAGTTGCTTTTAATTGTTTTGTTACCCTGACCTTGAGCCCATGTTAGAGGATGTGGATTCCTTACAGAGGTATTTCCTCTGTTTTGTTTTGGGGGGATATAGCCAGATGATATGATGGTGAAAACCTTTCCATTCCTAAGACTGACATTTTAAGTCAGCAGAGCTGGATAACTAGCGTTCAAGAATTTAAGAGAGCCATTTGAAGAACTATCTTGACCAATAATGTTGGGCGCTAGAAAAGTTTCAGGAGAATGCTGACATGCCAGTAGTTAAAAATACAAATGGGACAAGCTGACTAATTTAAAATCTGCCAGCCTGACTTCAATCCCAGGAAGATATCAGAGCAGTTAATACTTTTGTCATAAAGTAAAGAATTAAAGGAGGAAAACATAATTAATGCAACTGAAAATGGGTTTATGGAAAACAAAGTCTGTCAAATACTTGCCCATAGTCTTTCTGTAGAAATCAGTCCCGGAATTGCAGCCAGAACTCTGCTGCCCTCTTCCCAGGAAAGACATTTTCCCCAGGAGCTGACTTGTTACAAGGATGTGGAGAATAGAGATTTTTTTTTTCTGCTGCTTGCAGGAGCTCCCAAAAGTGGCTGTGTGAACAGTGAAGTACTTCAAAGATCAAGCTTGTCACTTCGTTAAGAAAATAACTTGTAAAGCTACGTGTAACACCACTAACAGGGGACATGTGACCTGACCTAGCAATGATGAAAGGGCCAGATCCAGAAAAAACTATGATTCTGGAAACCGGATTTAAACTCCTGAAAGCCCTCACATTCTAAACAAAGGCCCCAAAGCACGTTCCTTTCTTTTTCATGATGGACGCCCAATCCTGAAAGTGCTGTTATCTTCCTGAGTGTCTCTACCATTCATATTAAAATTCTCTGATTGCCCATGTGCATTGTACATATCCCTGCGGCTGCTGTGGCCTGTTGTTATTCAGCTTCTGGGGACAGGCCCTTTGAAAGGCCTGATCTTCCAATGTTATAATCGGGAGTGCCCCTCATTGAAAAGGCTGGGCTTCTCAAAGGCTGAATTTAAAACTGCAGTATTACGAGAGTACTGCTGTCTGTTGCCAGAATAGCCCAATGGATAGAAATAGAAAACTCACTGGACAGTGAGAATTCAACTGTTGCACCCCTGGAAGAACAGCCTATCTCCTTGCCGGCAGAATGGTCTCACTGTTCTGTCCACTGAAGATGCATTGCTGTTCTGTAAAGAACAGAGAGTCTCTCACCAGGAGAAGAATCAAGGAGATGGATAGCTTTAATCGAGCGCTCAGGCTGTTTAATTGGGAAGCTTCCAGTCTTTGCTTCTTGGACTGTATACATTTTATACAGAACAGCAGATAAAATGACCAGAAGTACTCCTGAGAGCAGGGATGAACACTCACTACTTGCAAAGAATTCTTCCATTACTCCCCTCTCTGAAATAGGATTTGTATTGTGATTGAACGCCTCTTCTTTAGTTCTGATGTAAGTGCCAACAAGAAGTGGGAATTAAGACATGCCCCACGCTTACTAACTCAAGGAGGCCGCCCCTCTTGGTTGCCTATTGTGATGGCCTGAGCTGCCAACACTCTGGGAACACAATAAGAACACTGTAGGAAGGTTTGTTTGGGGGTGGGGGGAGTGCCAAAGGGGACAAAAATTTAAATGTAGCATCTATGTTTTAATGTCCGTGTGCTTTATTATCTTCTAAAAAAGAGAGACTTAACTCTTCATAATAAATACAATCCACACACACACACACACACACACACACACACACATATATATACGTGTATATATTTGCACAGCACAATGAGATGCTTTGTTGAGAAGCAGGTTGGAACAACCTGGGAGAAGCTTGTATATGCAGCTTACTACTTCTGGTGTCTAGTTTATATGCAACTGCATGGGCCTGTCCGTAGTATGCCATGTACATGTACCCAAAGGTACACACCTAAGCCTGGATTTTGCAAAGACCACAAAAGTCACTGACTTTGCCTATGTTGTAAAGAGTTACAGTGATTTCAGTGGGTATATATAAAAAAGCCGTGGGTATTTCTTTGATAGTTTAATATTTAATCTTCTCTTCCACTGAGCATGAAAAAACATACAAGTGTGCTACAAGCAGATGAAAAACAGACTGTGCCTACCTTTGCGGGCTGAGCTCTTCCTACAGTTCTTGCTTATCTGTATTTCTGGATTGGGAGAGGCACATAAAACAACAGCAAATGACCTGTATAATCATTAACTACTTGACCATCTGGTTAAAACAAATGTTATGTAAGCTGATTCCCACTTGGACCCGACTTCAGCACCACGCCCATAAGGGAGATCTTGATATGCTTGCAAGGCCTAATTTCAAATAGCTCGGCTGCGTTCCCCAATGATGATTTTTTCCACACGCTCTAAGGCACTAGACCTGCACATTCTGGTTTCTTTCCATATGCACTTTTTAAGTACCCACATGCAGTGTTGCATAACTTCTGACAAAATGACAAATGAAACAAGTTTCATGCTGCTTATCTCCCCTTCCCCTTTTCCTGTAGATACATAATTTTAAAAAGATATGCAGGGGCTGTCACTTAAACTGCCCAGCTCTGGTGTCCAGACTTCTGAACCTCCCCCAAATCAAACTAATTTAAAATAAAGTAGCATTTACATTTCTAAGTTCTTAATTTATGGCCTGCCTTTTGACCACTGCTTGCTTTATCTGACAAAGTTCAGTCTCCGGATTCTGTACACCTTGGTGTTGTTTTCCAGCTGAATATAAGGTAGTAAGTAGTCTTTCCATTATTTTTCATCCCAGCTTCCTTTCTTTCCTGCTTACCCTCTTCTTCCCCTAAGAGACTTTGCGCAAATCCAGCAGTCTTTATATTCTGGCAAAGTTGGATGTGCGGGTAAAATTCCACTGAAAGCCAATGACAGTTTTGATTGCATACAGATTTTTCTCTTGCTTGGCCTATGAAAAAAAACGTAAGTGAAAGAGAAAACAAGATTAAATGATTTGAAAAGTGCAATGCATTGACACTTACCTTTGGAAATGCCATACCTGTAGTCTGCAGAGTAGACTTAACGTTTCATTACAAGAAAATAAAGAGAATGTGTGATTTAATTGCAGTCACGTTTATTTGCTGTTTCTATACACACTTTCTAGGTAATCAAACTTTTCCGACACATTTTTTGAGAGGGGTTCACAATGAAACTGTCACCGTTTTTACTAAAAATAAATACAAGACTTAAAGTGTTGCACAGCTCTAAAATATACAAAGGCTTGGATTTAATGTAAACTTTGAAAACATTTTACAAAAGAAACCATCTTTGCAACAATTTAAAAAGTTCATATTTACAAATATTACAAAAATACAAAATGGATGCAAGTCCATAAACCATTGTCTTTTCTGCCAGCATGAACTGGTGCTAGTACCAAAATAGTTACACTGTAACCTTCTTAATTTTTTTTTTAATTCTTTAAGTCATAACCTACAGTATTTCTCTATATCTGCCACCATTGCAGCAAATGCACTCAATCACTGACCTTTGGCAAAAGCAAACGTATGCTTTATTTGCTACAACTATTCCATGTCCTCTATGCTGCCACAAAAAAAAGGGGGGGGGGGAATGTTATTTTTCAGAACACACAGCTGTATAACTTCAATAATTATTTCCATAACATCAGTGCAAACAACAGAACAATCGGCTGAAATGATGGTTCACCAGTTACCTAATGTACGCCCTGTACCCTGTTTCGAGGTGCGAGTGATGGTCCTTTTGTTTTACAGCTTGTCCTCTCCTGCCTTAAAGGCACCCTTCCCTCACTAAAGGGGTCTCCCTCCACTTGCGTTCTCTGACTCCCACATTGGTTTGGAATTCTTTTCTTGACGGTGGATTTACAATCCGTCCTTATTTGGGTTTCAATCCGTTAAACATAAAATAGGAAAAAAACCCTTTTATAGAATTTAAAAGAAGTAAAACTGTATTTTCATGTGATTGTTTTGTGGTCATTTCATATCTTCCTGCCTCACCACGCAAGTCAAAAATGCTTTTTTTTTTTTTTTCCAATGTATATATGTTTGTATAAGGTATCTCTGTGAAACTGTCAATTGGTAATAAAAAGTGATGTCATCAAGCAGCTCTTTCAGCTGTTTTCTCTTTAAAGTTTAGAATCATAACACTTTTAAGCACATGTAACACTTTTAAGAATAAACATGTTATAAAAGTGCTCCCGTTAAAATTGGTACGGAAAATGACTGAAGATGACAGACTAAGGATTTTCTGCCCAATATCTAAACTTCCTTTACTCATGTTCTCCAGAAAGTGTTTTGTTTCATGCTAAACATTTCCTATTAAGACATTCTCATTCATTCATTCCACTTGTGTTTAGACTTATTTTCTTAACTAAGCTATTAATGAGACTAGCCTTTTATTTCCAAAACCTTATCCAGCTTACCTTTTTTAATGCTATTTTAGACTTCCTGATTTTGAAGCCTTGGAGCTGATTTTCCACCCCTCTTCCCAACAGAAATACCACACGCATAGTGATTCTATCTCGCATACCAGACACAATCAGGCTACACAGGAGGACGGTAGGAAACCCTGAATTATATATTTCTTGTGGTCAACACTCCATGAAATCAGACATAACCTAATGGGAAATAACATTCAGGATTTGTCAAACCATTCTACCTTGCTCAAACTTTTCGGAATCGTAACAGTTTTAAGTAAAACCTTCCTCTTTAAAACATGATCTGCCTGCTTTAAAAGCTCTCAGCTTTACGCTTTACGTGACTGAAAGCAAAGAACAGTAAAAACTCATTTCACACATCCGCTTCCCGATCATTTACTTATGCTTGAAGCCAGCTTTCAGTTGATCTCGTAAGTACCAAAGCACGTGCGTTCTGCCATCCTACGCACTCCGCCCTACTGCACACCACATTCCCTCTCGCACTGTTTTCTCTGCACTAACCCTTCCCGTATTGCAAAGCTTATCCTATAGCAATCATCACCAACTGCATAAATTTTGGACAAAGAGGGCCTTGTTCTCTGAGTAGCTTAGACGGGGCTACATTGCTGGAAACGATGGTGGCCCAAAGGAGAATCAGGCCTATTGGCTTTAATTTGTTTAAAAAATTAAAAGCGTAAAGCAACTTGTGGGTTGTTTCTCACTTGCACGTTCTTTCAGTTTTAAGACAAGAAAATTCAAGTAACTTCAAGTAATTCAGCTTTTATTTCCCTGCCTTCATTTTTACCAAAGCAGTTGCTTTGATTTGTCTCCTTTCCCACCCCATCCCATTCCCCCACCCTGTTAAGCATTTCTGGTAAACCCAGACAAAATCCAAACTGTATGTGGCTGGCATATGAACCAGAGCTTTCCCCTTCCCAGTTTAACAATGAATATAAATAATGCATACACATACCTATTTCCCAGCAACATTTTCACAGTGTCATTTTTGTAAATATTTAGGTAGCATGAATCTCATCAGCACAAAGAGAAAGCTTCACTGAAAACTCATCGCAGATATTTACTGATAAATTGAAAGCGCTTGTTGCATGCTTATAATTTATTTGCTTCCTTTAAGAACCAGAAACTAATCATGTTTAACGATTATAGTTACCAGGTTATGACTGTGTTATGTATCCCAATAGCCTAATACGAATATGAAAATAAGTACTATGTCTTCTTATCTAGTCTTTCTAAAGCAATCCATGTTAGAATAAAGGCCTAAGGGACACTGTCAAATGGGACTGTTAGGGGCTCTGTGTTAGAAATGACTTTGCTCTATCAGAAGCATGCTTGCCTTCCCGACCAATTATTATGGTAAAACTCACAGCTGCACTTTTCAGTTAGCTTGCTTGGAGCGATCTTTGAAAGACAAATGGTTACTTCAGTCCGTTCTTAGTTAGCCTTTACATTTCATTAACTAACATTGAGAATTTCTTTCAACTGCTAAATGTCACTTTTGAGGCTTTTCACACTGAAAGTGGTTTTTGGTGGCCATGTAAGCATTATGTTTGATTTGAAAATGGTATTCACAGAATACAGTTGCTACATTTAACTTCTTTTGTCTTTTATAAACAAAGTTGTTATGCAGTAAATCATTTGCCACATGTCCACTTTTGATAATTCTATTTACAGATTTTTATCAAAAATATGGTATTTACATATGTTTTGTTAATTTCTTCTAAATTTTGTTTCAGCTCATTTATTTTAGTGTAGAAAAATACCAATCCTCAAGACCATTTTCTTTTTTTTTTTCCCCTAGGGAAGCACTACAGTGAGGGATTTGTTTCTAGATGGGCAGCTTCTGGAAAAACAAAAAGTTGCTTTTAACTCTATGAAAAGTGAATAGCCTTGAAATCTACAGTGGCGACAGAAAAGGGAGTGGGTTAAATCAAATGAAGCTAAAAGAAAACAGACTAGACATAGCATATCTTTCTACTTTTAGAAAACGTAAAGTAATAAATAGCTACAGCTTTAGTCCTCTGTTTCCCTAGCGTCTTATAAACACAACCACGTTTAAGCATCAATATTGCCCTGCAATGTTTTTGACTGCTACAGCGTTGGCCTTTTATATTCACATCGTTACTTAACCCAAGTGGTTTCAGCGTTTTACATGTTTCACAGTCAACGGTGGGGCTCTGGAGTTCCCGCAGCCTATGCTGAACTCTGAGATGATCGGTCGTCATGAGGGCTGCCATCCGAATTCTCCGTCTCTCCTTCAGAGATAGCCTGCATCGGCGTGTTGTACAGCCTACAGCGTACGCTGTACCGGCTGCTGCTGGCTGCCGGAGGCGCCCGGGAGCGCCCCACTCTCGATGACGCCGACATGGAAAAGCTCTTGGAGGAGAACCCTTCTGCGTTGACTCTCGGGGAGCACGGAGAAAGTGGGGAAGATGCATCGGGGCTGGCTGCTTGGGGTGACTCATCCTGGTTTTGAGGGACATCCACTGACAGCTCTCCGGGAGACTTGGGCAAAATGGGGCTTTTCAGGATCTCCGTGGCAGACATCCTGTAGCTAGAATCAGACCGACTGCCCTTCTTTAGGAGCAGCGTTGGATTTTTTGGCATCCCTGTATATAAGCCCGGGGGCCCTCTGGCTGCTTATGGGAGTACCCACACTGCTGGGGGGTGGCACGGTGCTGGCAGGCAATGTGCTGCTGGCAGGTGGCTGGCTGCTGCTCCCAGATGAAGCTCTCAATCTGTTTCTTACAGAAAGGTCTCCAGAATCCTTTCTCCCAAGAACTTTCCTTTTTGATCTGCAAAAATACAAAAGAACAGACGTTCTTGTGTTACCTTCATGGAGCGACATTCAACGCTCACCTGAGATTTACAGATTCACCATCCTTTTATATTCACTATAGTTCTCTTAATTCATCTGTCAAATACTGGAGGCTAGCAGTGACTGACAGCACTTTAAACAGTAATAACTCCTGTGCAGTGAATGAGGCACTGAGTCACAGAGTCCATTTGAACTTCTCCCAGCTCTTCCAAAACGATTTACACACAACCAGCACTTTATAGAGACAACGATACGCACAGAATCTTAGGCTAGCCAAATGTTCATTGTAACCTGCTCAAATATTAAAAAACTGTCAGTTGTGAAAGCAACTGACATCATTTCAGTTGTGAAAGCAAATATCAACTGAATACAAAACACTCTAAATCTGGAGACGTGCCTTCTCTTAGGCAACTGCTCACTCCTCAAAACAGAGCTGGTGGGCAGAATGCAGAAACCACTGTGGGTCCTTTCCTTTAGAGATGTGTATGTTTTTTAGAGAGAACAGCCCAAAGGTATTCGCAAAGCATCCCACACCTGCCATAAAGATACTTGGGATGCAAAAAAAGAATGTTAAAATAAAGCAACTTTTAAAAGCTGCCTTTAAAAAAATGAACACAATAAAATAAAGAAGGTAGTTTCAGGACAGCGAAAACTGAGATGAAGAATTTCATCTTGGGTCAGCAGTTATCACGCAGTTGTCATCCCAACCAGGGGTTCTCCTGGAAATCTGACAAATAAACCTGATTGAAGTCATGGGGCCTTAAAAGGAGCAGATGTAGCTTACTGAAAAAATTAATCTCAGTGTTTCAACGAACTTAGTAAAAGTTCTGTTTGCACGAGAGGCATATCCACATGGACAGGCACGGGCAGACCCATGCTCCTCTGTTTGTACCGCACCCTGGCCACTCTTGTAGCTACCTCTGGACTGTATTAGCTCACCCCTGTACTTTCAAGGTGAGGCACTGTAGAGAGACTACAGTGCTTCCAGGACCAGCGCTAGCTGGGATACTTCTGCATGAGTCATAGCACCACACCAGCTACTGGACAGGACAGGCTTAATCCCTGAATAATCATTCTATAGCTATCATTAGCGGGCAATTGTGCAATGTAGGAGAACAGGGTTGCATTTTACAGTTTCCGCTTACTATAATGTTAGATCACCTGTGAATGACTGCAAAGAGATCCTCAGTAGTGCGTGGTTTATTTGGAGACACAAAAACATCCTCTGTCTCAGCCTGAGAATCTTCACTCAATGGTGAAATTATGGAATCGTCGCTCGGAGAAGATTCTTAAATGAGGAAAGAAGCCACGGTATGAGTCAAACCCTTGCCATGTTTTACAACAGCACTGCTATTGCAATACACAAACTCAATTCATAACTGAATTGCCAATATTGTAATATACACTTTATCCTCTAATCTAAATATCGTGTACATTGCAGCCCATAAAGTGGGCACTGCTAGGACCCAAAACCAGGATCTTCGGGTTACTGTACAGATGCTTTAAGCAGTTATGCAGCTGGGATAATAAGGCCTCTTTGTGCAAAGGGCTGGTCCTCCTCTCTTCCCTATTTTCAAATGGAATGAAGTACCAGGGAAGAAAGAAATATCAAAGAAACATATTTCTCTGAAATTATTTTTGGGTTGGCTGGTCAGCTGACAGATCAGGAGAACTCCACTACAATCTCCAGAAGCCTCCTGACACTGCACACAGGGCCAAATACTTTTCAAAGCTAGTACAAATCACATCCAAAACTGTACGACCAGTTACAATGCAGAAAGGGTTTATCACTGACCTTTCGGTGAAGGCTCTTCTGTGCTCCCCTGTGTCTCGTCTGCTCTGCTGTTGTCAGAGGCACTTTTGGTCGGAATACCTGATGCAGTGTTATTTTCCTGCTTGGAAGTTTTTTCACTGAGTGAATTTACTGTTGCTATCTCTGATTCGTAGCTGATATTCCCAGGCACATGGTGGCTTAAATCAAGTTGGTGCTTAAGCTGATCACTAATGTCAGCCCCCTCCGGCTGAGATGAGGTTTCGCCCACAGGTTCAGATTCCAACTTTTGTTCACAGCCTCCAGCAAACTCATACTGAATCTGCACTTGGTCAAGGTTGCTTTCCTGTTCTACTCCTTGGTTAGTTTTCTTTGCTTCGTAATCATTTGAGGAGACAGCTGAGCCTTTCTGAAACCCTTCTGCAGAAATGGCACAAGTCTGAGTTAGAGCATTTTCTGGCAAGTGCTCAGTGGCCACGTGCATTTGGTCTTTCAAGGGTTTAATTTCAGCCAGACCCACGTTCGCTGAAGTTACAGTTTCTTGCTCACAATTATTCTCTCCACTGAAAGAGGAGCTTTTTTCTAAAGGTGGATTTCCAGGGCCTGTTTCTGCTGGGGAAGTGTCAATATATGACATTATGGCCTCCTCAGTGGAATACTGACGTGATATTGGTTTCCTAGCCAGGAGCGGCCTCATTTTGCCTGGAGAAACATCAGTCACCATTAATGTGGTTTCTTGTACACAGAGCAGGTCTGTAGTACTAGCTTTTTGTTTCACTTCTTCAGGCTTATTAACTGATCTAAGGTGAACAGATTTTAGAACGGAAGGTGTGATAGCGAGGGCAGACGGAGGATTGGGATTTAGTGCTTCTCCTACCATGCTCTGTTTATTGTGGTTGAAAGCATGCAACTGGTGCCTGTGCGCGAAGGGTTTATTCAAGACGTTATGAAGAGCACTTAGGTCGAGATGAGTGGGAGGTATAATGGGAAGCTCTAGGTCTTTGTTTGCAGGCACAATGCCATCTTTAGACAGCGGCTGCTGCAGGGACGACTTCCTTTCTGGTACTTTTGGCTTCCTCTTGCTACCTCCGGGAGACAAAGGTCCAGAAAAGAAAGCTGTTGGAAAAGAAGAGGTTGGCGTTTCTGACTGGCTGGAGTATCCACTGGAGGGGGATGCTAACCCTGCCAACTTCTCTGGGGAGGCCAGTTTAAACTCATTATCGACAGAAGGGAGGGATGGGGTGGTGGCTCTTGATCCAGACTGAGACGTTTGGGATTCAGAGCTCTCTGGTGATTTGATGCACTCTATGACTGTAGTACCCGTAGCAGTGCTTGAATTAGATAAAGACCTGTAAGGATCATTAGATTTCAAGTCATTTAGAAGCCAGAGATCTGCATAGTGAGATTGTTCAGCACCTTCATCTTTAAATGACGGAATATCTGTGGTGTCAAACTGAGTGTCCTTTAATCCGCTGTCATTCTGGTTCCCCCAGGAGAGCTCCTGTTTGGTTGGTAGATTAGAGTTTTCCACTCTGGAAGGTGTGTTTGAAAACTCAAGCGGCAGCTTCATTTCCCTGGAAGTGTGAGACACGTGCTGCCCACTGCTTATCTTTGGTTCTTTCTTTTCAGGAAGATCTGTGCTGCTCTCAGATTTCCTCAAAGACGAGCTGCGTTTTGGTGGGGCTGGCTTTGCCTTTGGTTTCTTCAGAGAGATGCTCTGCCTTCCCTGCCTCCTGTGGTTCATGCAGTCCTGCCAGGTGCAGTCAGTGAGACTGGAGGTCACGCTCGCGTTCTGGCCACTCTCAGAGCCTGCGGCTGCATAGTTGCAAATATAACTTTTATTACCCTTGAGACCACAATCAAAGTGCATGGAGGTATAGTATCCTTCAGTATCCACGGAAAAGTGTGAGCTAGTGTCTGCCTTGTCCGATGGGCTCTTCTCTAGGAAGCTATCGTAAGTGGCCATGCTTGTGAAACTTGGGCATCCTAGGCTGTCAGCCTTTGGGCGCTCAGGGCTGAAATCCTGGCGACAGGACGCATCATGGTGATGGTGCAAGTAGTTCCACTCACTGTCACTAGTGTTGCTGTTGTTGGGGTCATCAAGTAAATCTGCTACAGTGGAGGTGAAGGAGCTTGCCCTGTGGCCTCTGACCTTATCCACGTGGTCACCAAACTGCTCTGTGATGAAGACACTGGAGTCCTCATTGGCATTGGGAGCAGTGTTCAGCGACAGCTCGGAGTCACAGTGCGAAGAGCCCGTCAGCGGAGGAGAGGCAGCAGGAGGAATGGTTTCAGACGTCTGAGAAGGACACGTGGAGCTGCTCCCACTCCAGTTCCCACTGGAGGACTGGTGGTCATCTTTCTGGTCCATGTGGCTGCTGAGCAGGACTCCTGCTGTGGAGATTGAGTGAATGGGGCTCCCAAAGGTATCCGAGTTGGATGAAATCTCACAACTTCCAGAATCTGCCATCCTTGACAGTCGTGATCTCCCTCTCTCGTTAATGCTGTGATCAGGGCTGTGCAGGTGCTGAGGACACGTTAAACCTATGGGCTGGTGTTCCTGTGAACCCTGTTTGTTCATGACCTCCTTCCCCTTTTTTGGGATCCTTTCCTGGCTTGCTAGAAAGCGTTCTGCTTCATATACTGCACTTTTGGCACTGGCATCCTGATCGCCTTCGTTGGCTCTTGCACCCTCGCGAGGAAGACTCCGTGACCGGATGCGGTTGCTCACTGTGGTAGCAAACACAGCATCCCCATTGTCTGCTAGCACCAAAATGTTGCCAGCAGAATGTGACAGAGAGGCGACAACGCTCTGCCCTCTCTGTGCTCGGATCCGTCTTCGGGATGGAGCAGCAATGAGTATTTCCTCAGTCTGACACTCCGAGTCCCGTGTACCCGACCTCCTGTTGGCAGCGCTGGAGAAGTCTGGGTTTGCATGCACAATCACATTGCGTTCTCTTGCCACCGGCGATTCATCAGAATCTAGGGTACATGTAAAGTGGGGTGAGCTACAACTTCTCACTTCCTGACAAAAGACGACCCGTAGAGCAACCCAAGAAGCATATTTTTTGGATTTTTTTTTTTATCTTGCTGAATATTGTACCAATTTATCTTTACTACAAAAAGTTTTGTAAGGCAGACCTCATCCTGGTAAGGTGGGAAATTCTCTTAGTCCTGCAATGTGATCTCAGTTCTCCTATTTCTGTAATGTGATCTCACACAGAGCTGATCTTGCCATGGTAAATATTAAGATAAACTTTTCAATTTTTGTCACTGTATTTCAACTAGTAAAGGCAGTTTTAATGAGTAACTGCCTGACAGAACACTTTTATAAACTTTTAAGAATAATTCTGTTCTGGTTATATGTCTTTTCAGAATTTCCATCAGACGCATCTTTGCTACTAAGAATATTTGCATAGTAACAGGATCTTTGTTTCACAGGTTCTCTGGTTGCTTATTCCCTACGATAAACACATTCCTGC